CATTGTATGTTTACAAACACTGGCCTTGCTATTTAAATGTTCCTAGCAAGTTAAACTGACGAAATTTTGCATCATCAGTTAATAGTTCTCTGCTTCAGTGGAACATTATTAACGTCAATGATATCTACGTTATAAAGGGGTTGCACTGTATGTTATATCAGTAGTTTAAAGTACTAGTTCTAGCCTATCAGAAAACGTCGATACAAACTCTTTCCTGTCTTTGCAAAAGTTCATTTGCATGAAGGCAAATAGCACCAGGCAGTGGGCACAGTTTAGCGTACTGAAATACAGTTTTCACAAGTACAATGGGTTTTTATCCATTTTTTTTATTACGTTTACAACATCAGACCTCCTCATATCTTCCTTCAGTAGGTGATTGCGAAGCTCGTACAACGTTGGTTCGTGATGTTGTAACAGAAGCCTAGTAGGGTTTGGTTTGGTGCCCAAAGTCACGATGTCAACCTGGTTCCTGCCAAATGTACTAGCCAGCGTTTGGTAGTCTCCACCAAGTGGCCTGGGTGGGTCTAATTGTTTTTCAATCTCACGAAAANGCGCCCAAAAACACGATTTCAACCTGGTTCCTGCCAAATGTACTAGCCAGCGTTTGGTAGTCTCCACCAAGTGGCCTGGGTGGGTCTAATAGTTTTTCAATCTCACGAAAATCATTACCGAATTTAGACAAATTCATGATGTTTGAATGCCATACACATTCACGTCGGGGTGCTAAGGAACAGAAAAACATAGTTCTGTAAGTTAAAGACATAAGCAGACGTATAGTCAGGGTAAACTCGATTATGTATTATTAGTTTAAGTCTCGGAGTTGAACACAAAAATTCGAAAATTGTAATTTGTTGAGGTTCAAACTATATAACTAGACCACGAGCCAGGGCAGGACTCCACGGGCGGTTAAAACAAAAAGGTTGGGGGCGGGGGGGTGTTTTAAAGTTTAAATGAAAACGCTGCCAGGTTATCGTTTTGCCACTCTTTTTTGTAGGGGATTTTGCTCAATAAATACTTCTTCCTAACCGAGTTCAGTCGAGGTTCGTAACGACCCAGTCAAGCCGTTAGTAGTTTTACCACGCAATTTAAAGACAACGAAAAAATAAATGAATAAAAGTTGAGGGGTGCGCTCACTCATTCTGTCACCCAGTAACTCATATAGTAGCAAAGACGAGACAAATGCTCCGTTCCAAATAACTGCTCCGTTCCAAATAACTGCTCGGTCTCCAGTGCGCCCGCGTCATGTGCGTAGACTATACGTTGGTGTTGGTAAATTCTCAACAGAATTCGCTATGACTGATCGATAGAAAATTGTTGTTTCCGTCATCTTGAGGAACATCCAAACAAACATGGCATGTGGCAGTGTTTGTTTCGCGTTCCTGAACTTCGATGTACTTTTCATTTTTCTTGTTTGCCACACAACCTGCGCCCATAAATTAAGCTTAAAAATTATCCCATCTTCAGCTTATGTGATCTGATCATATGACACTCCTTTGCAAACTCATCTTAGAAGACAGCCACATATTGCTATTGAAAATATTGCTAAGACATACAAACCGAAATCTGTAGAACCCACGTCCATCTGCAATTGGATGAAAGCCATTGATACACTGACTCCTGAAACCGCAAAATCACATATAACTTTCCTTCATCATTGTATAAGTGAAGCCTCAAACTGATAAGTTTAATTTTTTTTCTTTGCAGTCATAAATTTTAGCTGGATAAAATAGCCAGGAAGCATAATATTTTGTGCGAACTGCCCAATATAAATCCGTTTCGCGCTTTGTTGAAACAAGCAGCTGGCGAACTGAAAATATGACGATAGGCTGTAAGAACCTTTTTTTGCTGTGGCTTCTATTGCACTTCTCCTTCGATGTACTAACGGAAAAGAGGGACTGCTCTCTTTTCCCTACGAAGAGTCTGCTTGCAGTCTACAGCAACAGAGGCGAATGCAGGGGAGGGGTTGAGAGGGTTGCACCACCTCCGCTTTGGCAGCATTTTTTGTTATTTATTTGAATCTTCAGAAAAATAACAGAATAAAATGGACTTGTACGTATATCGAATAGTCAGTTGCTTGTTAAAGAATTTAACAAGAAATATAAGGAGTAACGTCATTCGACGTTTCGATGTATCCAACATCATTATCAGGAATAAAAATCAATGAATGTCAAAGTTGTTAAAAGAGTTGAGTTATGAATATCATTAGGTGGCATTCCTGTGTGCGTGATAATTATGTTAATGGCATAGCTTCCTGCGAATCGAGTCCGATTGCACGTTGGTTTGAGATCACCAAGGAAATACAGTTTTTCACAATCGCAAAAATGGTTCCCGCAAAATAAAAATAAACAAAGTGGCTGTGAGCCACTGAACTCGGATAATTACTCCAGCATCATTAATTGAGTACGTTAACCCAAACAATTCACTTGGTTAGCAAATCGTGTCGCCTTCACTTGAATAAGCTCAGCAACGAGTTATTTGCAGGAAGAGCTAGAACCGCACCAGCCAGCAACTCGTACGACTTGGTTAATCGTTCGTGATCAGAACTCACTTGAATCTGATGTTCTAATCACTCAGCGTTTCTGTACAAACCTTTATGAACAATACGCTTCTAACACAATAAAAATAGTTGTAGATGTTGCTCGGTGGAGAAGGTGTTCGCGCGGGAGGATGTGGTTTCAATTCTCTCGGAGTTATTTTCTTTTCATCTTCATTTAGTTTTTTTTTCTTATTAACGCATACATTTATATCCAAAATAATTTACCAAAAGGTAGCGATTGGCTTCGTCTAGCACTTCGGTCAATTTCGAACTAAAAATGCGCTATTTCGCCCATTGAACAGTATTGAACTGGTTTATCGGTGGGGGCTTAAAGTAAAAAAAAATCTCGGATTAATGACTAAGTCATTATCCGAGTTAAAAACCACCGATTCGGTGGGTCAAGTCGTTTTCGCAGTTCAATAAACGAAAGATGGACGAATGTGCCGGTAACGACAGCGAGGTCACCAGTGTTCCTCTTGTCCCTGCTACTGTTGTAACCTGCGAGCAGGTGTTCATTTCCAAACGTATGCGAAGGGAACGAAACTGCGAGCGAGTACGAAAAAATATAAAGGAGGACGGGGAGGGGTTGGGGGCCAAAAATGAATAATTCCTTTCCTCCCCACCCTCTCCCTCTTTTCCTCCTTTTTTTTTTCTCACCCCCTCTCCACTCCTCCCCGTTTTTTGCTCACCCCAGGCGCGTTACGTTATGCGTTATTGCGTTCATAGAACCCAGTCCTAATGCAGACTTGAGTCGAGTTTCATGGAACGGTGGACCTTCGTCCGAAGTTATGACACCGATTTGGCCACCCCGCAGCAGGGGCGAAACGAATGACAT